CCACTTCATTTGGCCTTTGATGCACATCGCACCACAAACAACTTCTTTCCAAATCTCATACGCCTCGCTTTACAATATCCCCAATAAAATAACTTCTGGTTGTTTCGGCTTCCCCGAACAGATGGGGAAAGGGGAGTCTTCAAAGTGCCCGGAGAATCTCCGGATGGAATTTAATGGCAGCTCCCAACTGGGGGAGCGGATGCAGCGGAAGGCAATAGACGCTTGACTTTCAACTTGACATTGAACTCCTTCAAGGCTAAGGGATGACGCCTCTCTAACCTTTCCTTCCCTTCGAACTAGATCGCCTGCAGGCTCTGATCGGGTCTCCGGCCTGAATGTCTGCAAACTAAAAATGGCCTTCCCAAAGGAAAATTTCCAGTTTCTAGGCACTGCTGCCTTCTGCTCTTATCAGGCAAATGAAACGCACATTTTGGGGGCACAACAAATTTTCGTCCTTAGTAGAGTACAAGCCACTATGACAGAAATCCAGTCTGTTTTTCTACCACAACCCATAACTTTGGGCTACAAAATCCAGACAAGTAAAGGGGACAGTAAAGAAGTACAAGCTCTTCCTGTCCATCACCCCGTTAATTTCTGTTGGACACTAACTGAATAAGAGTGGATGACTCAAAAACATAACTTGGTTTTTTTTTTAAAAGAAAGACTGTGCTTTAGAGCATTATCTGTATAAGTTTTCCCCATCAACATAAAATGTTCTACTGCAATCCCACCAGCAGCCCTGGGATTAGGGCTGCAGTCAAAAGCTCATTTACTTGGGAGTAAAACCCACCCAATACAATAAGCTTAACGAGAGAGGAGGGTAGGACTGCACTGCCAGGCTCCATAATAAGCATAGCTGAAATAAAAAGAACTTTCTGTTGAGCAGACACACTTAGGATTTATATTTTACGGTATTATTTTTAAAAGTTAAGAAGGAAAGTCTTAAGACTTTAACATTTTTCATGGAAGATGCACAACATTGTCCCATAATTAGAAGTGGGGAGGGGGAGGAATAGAGCAATAATTTTGGAATGCCTTTGATTTTTAGAAGAAAAGAAACATAGTTTAGTAATATATTTTTGTAAATACTCATGGAGGATTTGAAAATATATTTAACTTCGGTCAATTTGCACAGAGAAAGAAAGAAAAAGTGTTCTTGGTGTATAAGACAAAGGCTCACAAGCACAACCTAGGGAGAGGCAATAAATTCTCCATTGTGAATTTACAATCTTAAAACCTAGCTTATTCCCGTAACTGAAGCTTTTCCTAATATATTTTAAGTAAAGTGCAACATGATGGTTATATATTGGCACAATAATGAAGGTTGAAGGTAGTGAATTTATAAATCTTCAGTGGCCTAGATATTGCTAAAATAAACTATTTTGCTAACACACTATCTTTATTTCTGCAGAATCATTTGGTTAGTTTCAAATTATTTTTTTCTTAAAAAAAATAAGGAGGAATAAGCCAATGTTCTTGAAAGAGTGGAGGATGTTGGAGCAGGAGTGCACAAATCTAGTAAGACCTGACAAAACTGGATATCTGAGTTTCGACCTGATCCCATTTCTCCAGGCAAACAGATGCCATTCATCGCCCAAACCATTTTCCCTTACTTTCTGGTGTGAAGAAGATTTGCCAGAGTTATTTCGTGTCTTCTGCAGAATCTTAATCCATATATTCTGGCACCAGGAGCAGCATCTTTGTCCATTAATGAAATCCTGTTTATATTCGTCCACTTACAAATAAAAATAATAATGTCATTCAGCTAACTGAAAAGAAAAAAAGATGGAAATTCTTTGCTTCTGTTTACTGTCTCGAGGCTGACTTCACATAAGACACTCCTGGTTATGAAATTAATCCTTTTCTGGGTTCACAGAAGACATTGGATCATAAGTAACCAATGGATCAGGACATAAGGGGGAAGGGAGGGGAAGGGAAGGGAAGGGAAGGGAAGGAAAGGAAAGGAAAGGAAAGGAAAGGAAAGGAAAGGAAAGGAAAGGAGGAAAGGAAAGGAAAGGAAAGGAAAGGAAAGGAAAGGAAAGGAAAGGAAAGGAAGATTCAAACATAAGATACTATAAAAATACAGACCATGACTTTAACAGGATCAAATCCTCTGTAGCCATCCTAAGCATACCTGCTTGTAAGTGTAACCTATTGGCATCAATTTCAAAAGTTGGCCATATGAGTCTTTGGAAAATAAAAACAATGAAAAAGCAATCGAATATTTGTCACAGCATACCATTGATGTTAATGAGGGTTACTTCTTGGTAGCTATACACTTCAACCTATTCATAGCCTAAACTGTTGATCCAAATGGGTTTCTCTTCCTCCTCTTCTTTCACACCATCCATCTCTAGTTTTCAAGACAGAAGAGTGCAGCAGGCAATAGACACTGTTGGATGTTGTTTTTTCCATATGCCACATTAATTTTAAAATTAGAAACCTAAAAGCCAGCATCTATTTGCTGTTTCATCATCAAAACATGCTGAGTTTTGCTTGGCAATTTAAAGGCAGAAAAGACCTTACTTCACAAGCAAGCATTTGGAATTTGCAGGACTGCTATCACTTTAAAGTAATTTTTAGTTTTAATTTAAATTACTTTTTTTAGCCTTATGTTTACCTTTTAGCTGATTTAACCGTTGTGGGTTTAAATGAATTGTTGGGAATTATGTTTGATCTATTTGTGAATCATCACAAATCTTGTGGATTTGGGGGCAGAGGACATAAATCTTGCAATAAACAAAGAAATAAATCATTGCCTGCCAGCTGAATCCATTCATTTACATCTGCAGCTTTTCACAGAGAAGCTTGCAAGTAAATAGCATGCAAAGTGCCAAGTAAGAGTGAAAGTACAAGAAGACGGTATGTTAGGATAGTTATAGTTGGGTATTATCTTTCTCTTTTTGCACCTACCTGTTTTGGTGAATTCATTCTCTCTCCTCCTCTCTTCCACTCCCTCCCTCCCCTCATATGTGTATGTGTGTATGCACACACACGTGCAAGCATATTTCTCCTGCCCACAATCTTCTCTGCATACTAGCAATATTGTACAGAAATCAAACAACTCCTAGTTTATTCAGCAACTCCTCTATCTTCTCACAGAGAATAAATTTGGATTTGAGTTCCCACCATCACTACCAGGATTATGCTTCTTGTCCATTAATTAGAAAGGTTATTCATGCTACAATATGGCAGAGTAATTAGTTGAAAGAAGGAAGTACCCTTGGATAGTAAAAAGGGAGGGGGCAGGTAAAGGAAGGATATATTAGTTTTGGCGAGGGATAGAACTGGGTTTTTTAAAATCATTTTTTTAAATTAGATTTCTATCCAGCCTTTCTTCCAGGATCTCAAGGAAGCGCCCTGTGCTACCTCCAGTGCCACAAACTCATGGTTGCGTTGAGACAAGATGACTGGTCAAAAGTCATTTATACTTTATTGCTTTCTGAGTGAGATATAAAGAGAGTAAGGGGGGGGGGATAAATCTGTTACTGAAAGGATATTTCTGTTTTTGCTCCTTGTGTGTGATTAGTTGCAGTCCAGAAAGAGGCAACAGCAGTGCAGATACATAAGGAGATCTCTGATCTCTTCTGGCTCCCTGTGGTTTTTAGTTTCTTGAGAGATTAATAGAAATCAAGAAAACCAACTGTCCTCCATGCAAACAGATACTTTGGTGAGCCAAGAAATATAAGAAAGGGAGAGACAGTTTTAGAAATTCAACTGAATTTGCAAGGGGTGAGGAACAGACTGAGATGAATGAAGAGGACCCTGTTTGGCCTCACTTCGCTTGCCCCTTTCTTTTTACTATCCAAGGGACGTCCTTATTTCAATTAATGATTCTGCAAAGACAGTCTGAGAGATTTCAATAAGTTGGGAAATCTGACGAAAACCTTCGACATGAAGGCATTATTTGGAGTCGTAAAAGTCCCAGCTGCTAAATAAATATGACTGCTAGCCCTATACCAGCGTTTCCCGCCAGTCCGTTGCCCAAGAACCACACACCTTTCAATTTCGGTGCAACCAGGCATCTGCTTCTCTCCCTTTGCCAAGTGAAGAAGGTCCCCAGGGGCCTTTCAGTTGTGTTGCTTGATTTTACACACAGCACTCCCTAGTCCACAAACAAGTTGTAAATGTGTCAAACAGTTGGCTTCTAAAAGGCACCACTTGAGGTGGAACTCGGGCGCCTATCTCCTTCCCATTCTGTGACGGCCAAAGCGAAAGTCTGACTCCTCAGGATCCTCCCCGATTAAGAGCAAAAAGGAAAACGATCTATCAACTACCGATCGATCTGTCTTTCTGTCTATCCTTCTGTCTCTTGAAAAGTTGTCAACGGATGAGATACATTCCCAGGGGAGCCAGTATCCAAAAGTATCAGGGAACTGTTCAGCTAATTTGGCTAAAGAATTAACAATTGAGACGGGAGACAGGACGCTGTAATGGAAACACTGAAAACGTCTCACACAGATCCGAAGGGAGACAAAGTGTACCCAATTCTTTCTTTGCTGGACGGGCAACTTCGGGGATCGCCGTCGTTTCTCCCTCTGCCCCTTGAATGGTACCCATTCTCTGGAGGGGGAGGGAACTTGGTACTCTCCCCATCCCCAAAAGGGAAGGTGCCGCCACTACCACAGACCGCCCCTTTCCCCGAAGAGGAGACTATCACCTGAGGGCGCTGCCCCCCCCCGCTCTACTCCCCCCCCTTGCCACTACAGCATTTTCGCAATTGTTGCCCCCTCCCCCCTGCACGTCTTCTGCCAAAGCGCCTCAGCCAATGAGCGACGCGTTCTGGGAAGCCACGTCCTTCGCTTCGGGTGGGAGCGGGAGAGGGGAGAAGCGTTGTGGTCGGGCGCCCGGATCTCTCTTTCGGTTGCAGCCACACTTTTAAAGCGGTCCTTCCGGCTTTGCCTGCATCCCAGTTCTCGCGTCCTGCTCGTTTCCATTCCCCGGCCAGAGCGAGGCGAGCAGCCGCCGCCCATGTGCCCTTCGGCCACCCTTTACTCTGGATGGAGCCCGAGGCAGCCTTCGGAGGAGCCCGGAGGAGCCTGGACGAGGCGCCCAGCAAAAACCTGGATGGGTTGCTGAGCTTGCCTCCCTTCCCGGCCGGCGGCCCTTGCAGGAACGCGGCTCTCGCCGGGGCGGGCGGCGCGTCCAGCCCCCCAGCGCACGGCCCCTCCGGTTACGCGCCCTTGGATGCGCCCCTGCCTCCCTTCGGATCAGGGGAGCCTTCTTTGGCCAAACAATGCATCCCGTGTCCGGCCGTCTCACAGACGCCCTCAGCCAGCAGCACTTCGCCCTTCCCTTACGGCTGTTTAAGCGGCGGCTGCTATTCGTACCGAGTGGCCCGCAGCGCCCTTAAGCCGTGTCCAGCCCCGCCCCAGGCCGCCTACACAGCTGAGAAGTACTTGGAGGTTTGTGGGGCTGCAGCCAGCGCCCCCGCCGCCCCAGAGGATTATACGACTCGCCCGGCTGAGTTCGCATTCTACCCGGGCTACGCTGGACCTTACCAGTCCATGACCAGCTACCTGGACGTTTCTGTGGTTCAGACTCTCGGAGGACCTCCGGGAGACCCCAGGCACGAAACTCTCCTGCCCGTCGATCCTTACCACGACTCCTGGGCCTTGGCCGGGGGCTGGAACAACCAAGTGTTTTGCCCCAAGGAGCCCAACCCTCCAGGGCCCTTTTGGAAAACTGCCTTTACAGGTAAAGCTTAGTGCCTGGAGAGGAAAGAACACACTGCCACTCTCGCAGGTCTTTAGGGTGGGGGGGCTAATGGGAAGGGGTTGGAGCATCAGCGAAGTGTTTTGGGTCCATTCTGCTTGGAAGACCCAGTTTCCAGCTAAGGGTGTGTTTTTTGTCCCAAGAAGTAATTTTGCAAAAATGTGGGGAAAGTTCAGTTAGGTAACATGTTTGCATGATAATTTCCCACAGATTGGATAGGGCGGGGAGGGGCGGATTGCTGGCAACAGTCAGGATGTAATTTGTTCAGGATTGAACCCAATGCCTCCATGGTAAATGGTTCCTTTTCCCTTAACATGAACCCAAGTGTCCACTGCAGAGGACAGGTAAACTTAATTGAGGACAGGTAAACTTCAACTTGATATTTATTTAGTAGGCTTTGCCCTAATAAATTGTCTATATAGAAGAACTGCAAAGTAGACACAGATGTGACATTTTGGAATTTTATATTTTTCATTCCTTGGTGTCTCTTTCGATGCTTCTGGGCTTCTCTTGATTCTTCATCGATAATTGAAGTTGTCCTGGAAATAAGACTCCCCACCCACCCACCCCCCAAAATTGGATAGGACAGAGTGGCTTCAAACCCTTTTCAACAGATGCAGAAAATTGTTGGTACAGCGCCTCCCTCCATATTATTAATCTGCTATCAGAGATTAACCCAAATTTAAGATAGAGGTATGCAGGTTGGGGTATTCATTGCACCAAGTGGATTCTTCCAAAGTTAGCATTTGCCCAAGAAGAAAGAGAAAAGGGAGTTTGGGAGCTCTCCTGCCTCACAAGGTGTCATCTAATGCCAACGAGGAGAGGTTGTAAAAACTACTAGGCTGCAATATTATCCAGAACAACCTTCCCCAACTTACTGCCTTTTTGGAGTACAACTCCCATCATCACCTGCCATCAGAATTTCCTAAAAGGCCCAGAGCTTTGTGAAGAAGGTAGCTCAGACTAAGAATTCCAAAAAAACCAAAAAAAAAAAACCCCAGCCAAGACTTTCCTTGCAAAAACTCCAATTCTACATGATAGTCTGAATAATCCTATCCTCTAGCCGCCTACAGAGTTCTCTGATTTTGTGACTGCAAAATGTTTTCCCTTTCCCCTATATGATGACTCTCCCTCTCCTTCCCTTTATTTGCCAGATTCATTTTAGAGTGTCCAAAAAAAGTGAGGGTGGGGGAGAGGGAGGGCAGCTTTTAAATATATCTTGGATCAGACAGTCTTTCTTATGAAAAGAAAAAAAGAGGGGGTGGGAGGCAATTTGAGGAGCAGCCTCTCTAAACGCCATCCCTCTGCCCAGTGTTATGATTCTCTTTGTGGCCTACAAGTGGCTGGGGGTTAAAATTCTGTCTGATTTAGCTTTAAGAGATTGTGGGACCTCCCTCTTCCTGCTACTTTTAGTGCTGTCTCAAGGCCAGGCCACCACAATTTATAGTTGCAACCCATCAAGCCATTACTGGCAATTTAAGCTTGTAAAATTTGGTGAGAATTCTCAGGGAGTACATGTGCTTCTCCATGCAACCCTCATCAGCAGTCGCCAGGCAAGTGTTGGCTTAAAAGTTAATTTATTATTTTTACTGGCTATTCTGGAAGCTAATCTCCCAAACCTAAATGGGCAAGATAGCACAACAGAACAAAAATAAAAACCTTCCTCTGTATACTTCTACATTTCAACATGCTTCTGTTTAAATTACCTCTACAATAATTTTCTACAAATGTCAAGCATAAGAATATATGTTTGCCCTAGCTCATGCTTAAAAGGTTATTACCAGCTCTAGCCCAATATATTTGAGAGGGGAAAGTCAAGGGGAAAAATAACCTATAATACAAGTGAATATTTTTAATTGAAAGATAATCAGTTTATTTTCAGTGCTGTTTTTTTAAAAAAAAGTTTATGCTTTTAACATGTTGCTTTCCCCCATTCAAGTAAGTATTGATTCCTGGAACTTCGAGGACAAATCCATGTAGTTGTCTAGAGAGAATTTTTTTGAAGTGTTTTATCTATGCCTTTTTCCTGTGGTTAAGAGAAAGTTACCGATTCAAAATTATTCAGCTGTCTTCTGGGCCTAAAGCAAGACTAGAACTCAGGTCTCCCCACTTGTAATTCAGCACCTTAATCATTAGATCAAACTAATTGTCACTGCTTTAATTAACAATACACACATTTGAAAGAGTCTGCCCAAAGTGCAGTATCAGGAAAGAAATTTGCCTATTTATTTTGAGCTCAGTGTTGAAAATTCTTTCTCAAAGTTTAAATTAAAATTGACAATTCATTGAAACAGTATTTTGTTAATAAGTATCTGTTCTAAGCCATAATATTAATTTCATTTTAGTAGCAACAAGATCTCAATGGTATATTATCCAGCCAATATTTTAAAATACACTGTGTGCCTTATTTCATACTGTATTCTCTCACTTTTATTTATTACTCACATTAGTACAACTTTATTAAGCTTATCTAGTACAGTTGAAGATGAATATGATTACATATAAAATACTATCTTATAAAAATTATACAGATTTCACAAGATAAACAATTTTGTAATCTGTATCAGAGTTATAAGTCACAATATAATGTTTCACAAATGCATAAATCCAATAGCATAGACCCTAGTGGCTCATCTTTCCAGAGATCACAAAATCACATTCTTTTAAAAGTGTTTATTTTAAAACACTTACTTAGATTCAGTATTTCAAATTAGTTACCATATCAGTTATTTCAGAAAATGATGATGATAATAATAATAAAGTAATAATAACAACAACAACAACAACATATTAAAAAATCCATAAAAAAGGAATGGGATTAGCTAAATGGGGCATTTGCAGGTCATTCTCCCTGTTAATGGCTGTGGTCCCAGTGGTGGAACGAGGTAGTTTTAGACTCAACTTATTCATTTTCTGAGGAGTGAAGAACCTTCTTAAATGGTAAGTGTATTATTTTACTTACTTGAAAATGTAGTAAACTGATTGACTCCATTATGACTGTCCTCTGATTGATTGTAGGTGATTTGAAATAATCTCCCTCCTGTACATCAATTTTGGCTTCTGCCACTGTTTTACTTTGAAAGCATCACTGAGTTTCCCTCTCCAACTGAGTTATTAAAGCACAATATTGATACAGTTATTGTTACTTGTTGAGGAGTATGTGTGCGTGCATACATGCCTTCAAGTCAGTGTGGAATCCTGGTGATTGTCTGGGCAAGCCCCTGAAGTTTTCCTGGCAAGATTTTGGAAGTGGTTTGCCATTACCTCCTTCTTAGGACTGAGAGAGTGTGACTGGCTCAAGTCACGCAGTTGGCTTTGTACCTAAAATCTCCCAATTTCTAGCCAAGTGCTTTAACCACTATACAAAACTAGCTCTCTTTATTGTTACTTACAGTTGCATAATTTTAAATAAATTTAAAACTATTCACATTCTGTAATTCTGCACAATTCACACTGCATAAATGTGCATTGCTTTTTGTTAATGCATCACACCACATGTAGCTTGCAAGAAGCATCTATATCTTGCATTAATATTTTAGCATTACACATACTGCTGTGCAGTATACTTGCCAGCTTCTCTATATATTTGCAAGAAAGATTGTTATTAGAGAGTAAAAAGAAAAAAAAAGTATTAGAAAAAAGCAATCTTTAAATTCCAATAAATCTATCTTACAGGTCAGGAATTTTCCAATATTGTTATGCAACTGAAAGCAATTTAAAATCTAAGAGATTACCATGTTTAGAGGATAAGCACTGAAATTTTAAAAAAATCATCAGTTATGATTTTTAATTGTAAAAAGCATGAGTAATGATATTTAACTAAATTAACTCATTATGTGAACTCATGCTTTTCACCAAAAATACCATATATAACATATACCATATTATATGTGTGTGTGTGGTATTCAGCTTTGTTCGGGTATTTTCCCACGTCATTATAGTTGTGCTTTTAAAGTTGTAGCAACTTTTCGGCAGAATCTCATCTGCCATCATTAGGCTTCTGTATTGTGTTCGTCTGTGAGAATACCATGCATGTAAGTACCCGCGAAAACTTAAGAAAAGAATATATATATATAAAACACATTGTATAATATACATACATACATACATACATACATACATACATAGAGAGAGAGATCCAGTCAATGATGTAAATTTTATACACTGGCAATAAATACATTTTATTTAACTTATATAAGTCACAACTAAATTCCTAGAGTGACTCATTTTACATTAATGTTCAGATCTGTATTGATTTATTTCATGTATAAAGCATGAAAGTATGATGATTGAAAGTAGACATCTGAAATAATATTTATTTGAAATCAACAAATAATTTTGAGTAAAAAATTTCTCAGACATTTAGACATAGACATTTAGATTTGTGCTTTTTAAAAGGAATGCATAGCTAGTAGTGACAGAAACAACTCCTATTTTCTTTCTTGTGCTTGATTAAAAATGCAGTCTGGGTAGTTTACAAGTATAAGCTAGAGTGGACTACTATGCAATGTTAATATGAATTGTTTTGCCTTGTAATATTTAATGTCCAAAGATTCTCCCAGATATACATTTGTATTATTTTTAATTTAGTTCATTGCAAAATTGTACATTCGTGGATATGGAATTTGCCTTGCAACAGCACTATGAGCTGCCTGGGTGCAAGGTCTGTGTTGTTCTTATATTTAGTTCTTTTCTTCGCATTTCAATAAAAGGAGCAGTTTTAATAGCATTAATAGCTACAATACACTCTTCCTCCAAAAGAACCAAGGGGCAAGTATTGAATTCCTTGAGCAGCAATTACTACTGCTCAAGTAGCTTTGTTTAAATTCAGTAATTAAGTGCAAGGAAAGAGTACATCATTAACGTTTGCAGAAACACTGAGGACAGCAAAGTGCCTTGTATCTGCAGATTTATATGAATTACCAACTCCAACACCCTGGAAGTACAATAGCATGCTAAAACACAGTTATGACCTTGAGTAATAGCCTATAGGTTTATCCTGCTTTAAAAGTTTTACCTGGGAATAAGGTTTTAGAGAAAGGGATTGGGCCACACAACAGATTTTAGCTTAAAATCAATTTGCTTGCAAAGATCTGACCCCACAACAAGTATGCTACCTTATCCGAACTCCTTTGTGATTTTATTCTCTTTCATTATCAGAATAAATTAATCTCTAGGGCTACTTTGCCTCGAGATAGAAGGTTGGAAAAATGTGTGTGTGGGGGGGGTATTGCAAGGGTAACATGGTAGGGTAATTGAAAGTAACACTAATTATTTGGACGGGGAGGCAGAGAAATTCCTCCTAAACAAAGACCAGTTTCCCTCAATGCTTCTTGGCTCACGCTATGGGCCTTGCTGCATTTTGCGCAGATATTTTGAGGGAGATTTAATATAGAGTGGGATTCCAGGCTCTCCGCCCCCGTCTTGGAGAAACCGGAATGGAATGTGAAAATAAGAGGGGTCAGGGATAAACTGGGGGGGGGGGGTCCCCCTGCCCCCCCCCCCCTCCCGGGCCCCCCGGGGAAGGGGCCAACAAAGGGTTGGAAGGGGGGGGCTTTACTGAACATGTGCGCCTGCCAATCTGCCTTTTGCCCCTCCAATCGCGGCTGCTTTAACCCCCGTCTCTCTTTCTTCCCTCCGGTCAGAAGCTGTAAGTCAATCGCCCCCCGAGGGCTGTACCTTCCGACGCGGCCGCAAGAAGCGAATCCCGTACAGCAAAGGGCAGTTGAAAGAGCTGGAGAAGGAATATTCCAGCAGCAAGTTCATCACCAAGGACAAGAGGAGGAGGATTTCCGCCGCCACTAATCTTACCGAGAGACAGATCACCATCTGGTTTCAGAACCGGAGGGTGAAGGAGAAGAAAGTGGTGGCCAAGGTCAAAGGCGCCAGCGGCAGTAGTGGAGGCGGTGACGACGCCTCTTGAGACACGCGCGAAGGAAGGAAGGTGGCCTGGAGGGAACAGGCAAAGGAAAAACCAGGGGGAGCAAGGAGTCTCGTAGGGTCGCCCACGTGAGGCCTCCAAAGGCTCCCGCCCCCACCCTCCGAGGCCTTCTGCTAAAGAGGCGGCGGCCCTGTCAGGGGCCTCCGTTGATCTCTCGTCACCTTTTGAATTTGTCCTTAATAATATATTTTTAATTATTATGGTTGCTATTGCTGCTTTGTTTCCCCCGAGAAATTAATTAAATTAAATCAAATCACTGCGGGAACAGCCGATGATTAAAAAAAAAAGCGATACTCTCCATTTTCTTTTCCTGATTTTGTAAGAGCGGAAGGAGAAAAAGGAGTAGACCGTGTGCAATTATTTTTCCTTTCTTTTCCTTGAAAAGAAGGTGCCTTAGGGCTTTTCTTCTGCACCCTTGCTTTCTTTGTCTGAAATTGAGTAATCCAGAGCTGCTTTAGGGGCAAGGAGGGTGGGGAAGGAGCGAAAAGGCACCCAAGAAAAAGAAAATCGCCTAAAATCGACCCGAATGTAAAATAAATTTTCAGTGACCTCGATGGCTGTGGGAGCCATTCTCTCTTAGCTGAATGAAGATAGAATGAATGAAAATAGAGGTAAAAGAATAGTAATCTCTAATCTGGATAATATTGTAGTGTATGTATGTGGTGTGCACACAGTACAATATTATGCTATATATATATATATATTACTCACCTATGATCATGCATACTTAGCATAATCTGTTTTGCGGAGGGGTCAGATAATTGCCTACACTATAAAATTGCTATTACGTATTTTATTTTAAGACTTAATGCCGCATATGAAGGTTGACCACCCCCTGAAACTTTTGTTCTTATTGATGGTGAATCATACAGTATTTGCATTCTACCAAAAACTAATTAAAAGTGCCTTTGAAGACACTGAAAAAAGCCGTGAGGGAATTTGCAATGTAATAAACACAAGTTACTGCATACCGAAGGAAAAGCCATCTTTAATGTTTTGTATTATTTTTATTCCCTTTTAGAGGTATCCATCAAAGTAAGTTTTGTTGCTATAGTTCCGGGCACAAATTTTGCCCTAGTCATTCTGGAATCATAGCGTTTTTGTCCATATATTTAACAAAGGGGCATAGAAACATGCGTACGCGCTTTTGCAAGCCATCGTGCAACTTTTACAGTTCCCACTTTCTATTGCCTTGAAAGTCTGCTCAGATCTTCAGACGTTGGAAGCGGGGTCGTTGTAATCCACGGAGCCTTCAGAAGTGGGGGGAGAAGAGCATTCGGCGACTTAGGAGCAGGTTCCATAATCTTAGTGGTGATTTACGGAGTGTTACATGGCGTCATTCAAAGGGTCGCGGAGCCGACAGAACAGCGATGATGTCATCGCTAAAACTTCCAATTGAGTGGAATGGAGTCCAATGGAGTCTCCAAGTTGCCTTGGCAACAGGCAGGCTTTGTATAGCCACAACAACGGCTGGGTGACGCTGGAAGATGCTGTAAATCGTTCGTCAAGAAGTGGCCATTCAAAGCAACTGATTTTTTTTTCCTGGTCAATACAACGAGAAAGATTTACGTTTCGAATATCTATTGTTTATATATTGGATCTGGAGGCTGAGATTTTGAAATTGCCATGCAACGTGGCGCGTAATGCTTGGTTAGCCCTCGGATCTCCACACTTCCACTGCAACCCACCGCCGAAGCAAGCGGAACTCTGCAGAAGGAGCCTAAGAAGGGAAGTGAGGCGCTGCCCTCGAAGTACCTCTAAACAAACAAATAATCTTTCCTAAAATTCTAATTTTGCAGAAGTATTTAGAAACGTCTCTGGCGCTCACACTGATTATGATTCGATAGAAAAGGACACCCTACATATTCAACCGCACGTTGCTTTACCGAAAAGTCTGATAAGAAGATGTGCAAGTATATTTTCTATTTATATATTTTTGTATTTCATAATGTATTATCCAGAATAATACAGAGATTGCACAAGCAGTACTGTATTTATTATTTGATCAACGATAGTTAAAAACGAATACATATGTGATATAAATTGCATGAGAAACCAAATATGGGACCGTGATAAGTATTTTGAAACTTCCAGCCTTTTATTCTTTAGCCCTTTCTTTCTCCGAAGAAACTTTAGAAAGCTCAAAGAACAGAATGGAAATAGCTCGTGGGTTTACAATTTACCGCTCCTCTTCGTTGGGGTCCAACTTCGACGTTTTAATCTGTAACGGGGGCCGACGGCAAACGACCACCTCTTCTCTCAAGCGTCGATCATAAACCTCAGACAAAGATCCCGGTTTTTATTTTAGGGCCTCAATTTATTTCTCTCCGCGTTGATAACCACACCCTTCAACTAGCAGGCTTGCTTCGCACCCTGTCCGGGGGCTGTTGTCTCGCAGAATTAAATGCATAAAACTCAACGAGAAGTTGACACAGAAAGAAAATGCGCTGGTCCAAGTTCAAGGATAAAAACGCTCCCTCAGTCTCCAGGAGACGGTTAGACGTTTTAAAATGACTTTGCCTGTCAAGTGATTTTATAGCATCTGCTGTGCGGTGCCTACTTACTTAGTAGGTGATGGAGGGGAGGAGAGAAGCTCTGCAGTTATGCTCCTTAACCATATGGTAGAAAGAAGCAGAAAGCAAAGCACTGGCCAAACTACCAACAAGGGAAGCCAGATTTTTTCTTCAATATTTTTCTTCTTCGGTTGAATGGTGTCGTCTCAGAGACTGCTTGGACAAGTCCCCAAATTTTCCTGGCAGGTTTTTTTTGAAATATATGTGTATATATATATATATGTAGAAGTAATTTGCTATTGCCTCCTTCCTAGAATAGAAAGTGACTGACCCAAGGTCACCCACCTATCTTTGTGCCTAAGGCGGGATCCAAACTCACTCTTGATGCCTTAAAATCACTACACCAAACTGGCCCTGCATATTCCTCAATATGTACTTCTAAACTTGGGAAATTCGTATTCTTTATTTTATTGAACATGAAATGCCTGTTGATGCTCCGACCCAAAGACCTAGAGATTTCTCTCCAGGCTTTCCAGAGATCAGCTGATACAGGATGTTTCCAGGGCTTGACCCTAACTAAATCCATCTAAAAAGAGGGATGCAGGAGCAAAAAAGGAGAACCAATATATTTTGGAAATGGGGAATACTGGATATCCTCTGGGATGATCTCCAGTTCTGAGTCTTCATGCAAAGGCCCTCCACCTGTGAGCATATATCCTCTCTTTCTGTTGCACCCCATATAATGAAAATGTCAACCTGAGAACGCAAGGTGAAAGATTGGAGGGAGAGAGCTTACTTTAGAGGTGCTTTTGCAACCAATATTTGCTATGTCCAGTAGCAAGGTAAGGGGAGAACAATTTTCCATCCACTTTAAATTATGATTTAATTTTATTCCCAGCAGATAGGTCACTTTTAACTTTGATTCAGGTCTCTCACCCTGGGAAGTAGAGGTTCTTAAAAAGCCAAATAAGTTTAAGAAGTTTCCCATAGAGGAAAATATAGTGTATATAGCTTGGTGCTCTCTCACCTTGTTTGCTTTCAGACCTTTCATTACCCAACTAGGTAACATCTTCAGTACTAGCTAGCACGAGGTCGGCTCCCTGTTTACATAGCTTGTCCTGCCAGTGTTGATGGGTGTGGTTTTTAAAGGTTTGTTAAGGAAACTATGCTTGCTTTCAATATTAAGCCAGGAGCACCACCTTCTGGTTGCAAGGTTTAGCACAGTCGGCAGTGTTTCCTTCTCTCCTCCCTACTCTTTTTTTTGCCTTCCCTTTTACTCCTTTTACTTAATGTGTTCCTACCACACTAATGAAATTAGTCTACGCCTATGTCTCCTTTCACATTTTCTATCAATTTTGGTGGATTAAATAAACCATTAAAAATTATTTCCAAAAGCTAGAATTTCCTATTTTGTAGATCTGAATTTAGGATAAAAAGTAGGACAAACTTGATTTGGAGCTATTGATTTTACAAACATCGCAATTAAATAGCCAAATCCACCCCTACCATATTTTGAACTTAAAAATAGTAAAAATTAGTAAGTTGCATGTTCAATAAGCTCTGTTATGTGTATTCTTCTCTCTCTCTCTTTTTTTTAAACAATAAACTTGTATGAATATTTTTGTGGACCTTCATGTGATTACTATCATTCTGAACTAGGTGAACAAGGAATGTGTCTAAGTGGATAACGCTATATAAATTAAAGAAGATACATTTATACAACATCACTTACCTTACCCACACAATTTTAATCACACAATTTTAAACGGGGGAGGGGAGAAAGACATCTTCTGTATGTGTGAAATTTATTGTTTATTTCAATGTAGGTTGCTTCCAAATCAAATTAAAACCTACCCCCATTCCCTTGTCTAAAATAAAATGCCTTCATTGTTTGCTTTCCTATTTCCAATTCATGGAATGTCCATTCCCAAATTATCCTTTTTGTCCCTGACTCAATTCTTCTAAAAAGAAGCCGAATGGAGGAGGATTTGCCTTTTGTTTGCAGCCAGAGAATTGGTGGGGGGGATGGGGGGGAGGAAAGAGGATTTGGAAGAGACCAAACCTCTGTCTAGTTGCTTTTTCTAAAATTGCGGCCAAAAGAACCAGATGAACAAAATGGCTGGCGCGCATCAAAAACACAAGGGGAAGAATGGGGGGAAGAGCCCGTCATTGGATCTACTCACACTGATCTGAACAAGCACACCAATGCTGATAATAATTTTACCACACTGCATAAAATTCAAACAGCAAACCAATTCCGTGATCGAAATTGCCCATTTATTCATTATCTGGACCTTAAAAGGATTTAAGTTTGATTTTACTAGAGCGTCTGTGTTCAGGGAGACATGTGCAGAAACAAATGTTCCGCCGGCCAGGTGTGCCCCTACTCACACTTCTTTCAGACGAACTCTGTTTGAATTCTGCTTTCAAAGCCCAATTAATTTCAGCATCAGGAATTAACGCTACAGC